AAGTCTTGGACCGGTTTGAAATGGCACGCGGTAACCCCCAACCCACTCCTCTCTCGGTCGGGCACCACCTCTCCCCACCCTTCTCTCCCTCTGCCTCCTCCCATCCTTATCCTGAACTCATCGGCTCTCTCATGTATGCCATGGTCTCCACTCGCCCTGAACTTGCCTACCCCATCAGCGTCCTCGCTCGGTTCGTTGGCGCTGGCAAGCACACGGAAGAGCAGTGGCAAGCTGCCAAGCGTGTTTATCGCTACATTCGTGGCACCAAAGACTATGTGCTTACCCTTGGCGGCCCTTCCCCGCCCCTCCTCAGCGGCTACATCGACTCTTCCTGGGCTGACTCTCGACCGGATCGGCGGTCCTCTCAGGGCTATGGCTTCTCTCTGGACAGCGGTCTCATCAGCTGGCGGTCCACACGCTCCTCTGCCGTCGCCCTCTCCTCCTGCGAAGCAGAGCTCTACGCTGCGACCATGGCTACGCAAGAGGCATGCTGGCTCACCTTCCTCCTTGATGAGCTTGTGTTGGAATATTTATGTAACTGCCTGTAGCTGTAGTTTAGTGTAGTTATTATTAACTGTTGGTGGTGCACCTCTTGTGCTTGTTCTCTTGCCTATATGTTCCTTGTTTGCTATAGTGAAACCCTCTTTTCTTGCCACAATTCTCTCGACTCCCCCTCCTCGGCTCAACCTAGCTCAATCTCCTTGGGCCTAGGCTACTATGCCTAGGCCCCCACTTAAGATTAGCCCCTCACTTATGCCTAAGTTTCGACATGGTATCAGAGCCTGTAAAGTCCTGGCCTGTGGGCCAGCCTCTCGCTTCCGCTGCTGTTTTTCCGGTCGCGCGCCTCGGGCGCGTGGCGATTTTCAACCTGTCCCGCGCCCGGGTGGCGCGTGACGTTTTTTCTGCCCGTCGCGGACCCGCCCCTGGCGCCCGCGACGGTTGCCTAAGCCGCCGCGGACCCGCCCCTGGCGCCCGCGACGGTAGCCTGAGCCGCCGCGGACCCGCCCCTGGCGCCCGCGACGGTTGCCTGAGCCGCCGCGGACCCGCCCCTGGCGCCCGCGACGGTAGCCTGAGCCGCCGCGGACCCGCCCCTGGCGCCCGCGACGGTAGCCTGAGCCGCCGAGGATCCGCCCCTGGCGCCCGCGACGGTTGCCTGGGCCGCCGCGGACCCGCCCCTGGCGCCCGCGACGGTGCCCTGAGCCGCCTCTGCCTCACCCGTGCCTGTGCTGCCCCTATGTCTGATCCCCTTCCCCTCCTCCTCCTTTCGTTCCCACTGCTGCAGCTGCCGCTGGGGGGGAGGGTGTGAGGGTGTGGGGGAGCTGGGGGAGAGGTGCTAGGGTTGTCGAGAAGTGTGGAAGGGGGATTTGGAGGACTGGGGGAGGTTCCAGGAAGCAGCCGCCTCGGTGCCAGCAGCTTCACCTGCCAGCAGTTTCTCCTCATCCCGGCTGCCTCTCTTGTTATGCCTCTTGCCTCTCTTTGCTGTTATTTGTAAACTTGTCACTGCTCTTGCGTAGTGCTGCTTCTCTGTTTGGTGTATCTATCCAGGAGGTGTTGCTGCACAAACTCCTTCTGCAGGCAGTTATGGGGGAGTGTTGAAATATTTATGTAACTGCCTGTAGCTGTAGTTTAGTGTAGTTATTATTAACTGTTGGTGGTGCACCTCTTGTGCTTGTTCTCTTGCCTATATGTTCCTTGTTTGCTATAGTGAAACCCTCTTTTCTTGCCACAATTCTCTCGACTCCCCCTCCTCGGCTCAACCTAGCTCAATCTCCTTGGGCCTAGGCTACTATGCCTAGGACCCCACTTAAGATTAGCCCCTCACTTATGCCTAAGTTTCGACAGCTTGGTGCCCCCCAACGCTGTCCCGCCATCTGGTGTGTCCCCATTGTTTCACCAAGGACGCTGTGTATCATGGGCGCTCAAAACACATTGAGCTTCGCTACTTCTTCATTCGTGATCTCATCGAGGCCGGGCACCTTCGCCTCGGCAAAATCGACTCGGCGGCCAACCTCGCTGACATCTTCACAAAAGCCCTTCCCCAAGCGTCACACTCCTTCCTGCTACGTCTCGTTGGCCTCACCCTTCCTCCGGTCTCTGCAGCCTCCTGATTACCGTATGGCCCCGGATAGTAGCGCACGTGTGCTTATAATAAAATGAGTGTTTTTAAGGGGGGCGCTTATAATTGAGTTTCGGCAGGAATCTGCTTCAAGATGGAGACGGCTAACTAATGAAGACGAAACGAACGAGTGGCTAGCTCCGCTATCGACGAGAATCTTAACAGGAACTCCGCGAAGCTTCCCTAGAAGCACGACTGGACGATCAACAGTGTCTACCTCGTTCTCCGTAGATGACTGCTGCGAGGCCGTCTCCTCTACGTTGGTAGACCTGGCGGGTACGGGAACCTCCACACCAGCTAGCGACCCGCTATCTACTGGCGGTTTCCGTTTCCCTGCTGTCGCTCCTTGAACTGTGGGCAGTCCCGCTTCATGTGTCCCGGCTTTTTGCAGTAGTGACAGTTCCCCCTAAATCCGTTGCGCTGTGAGCCATCATTGTTAACTGCACCAATCTCCATGGGCGACGGTCCGTCCCTCGATCGAGTGTCGTTGATCGGTCTGTTGTATCCCCTATCGCGATCGTCACGACCCCGTCGGCTTCGTACTGCGTCGACGCGTTCTGCTGCTGCGACTACTGACTCGAAGGTGGACAACCCGTGAATCGCAATAATCTCCGCTATGTCCGGCTTCAACCCTTCGAGGTAGCGATCGCGCATCTCTGCTTCCGTGATGTCGTCTATCTCGTTGCAGATGCTCAAGAACCGTCGTGTGTACTCCTGGACGTTTCCTATCTGTCGGAAATGACGCAGACGCTTCCTAGCAGCTTCGGAGGCGTTCACCAAATCGAACCTACTTTTCAGCGCCGCTTCAAATCCTTCCCATGTCGTCGGAACCGTGGTACCGTAAGCCCCCGGATAGAAGCGCAGGCCTCGGATAAGCGCCGGCGCTTATAAAAGGATGAGGGCGCTTATATCCGGTCCTCGATTATAAGCGCACCCCCTAAAAATTCATGATTTATTATAAGCGCATGCCAATTTTATATCTGAAAATCAGTCGAAATACAGAAACGAATTTCACCTTACCAGGGAAGCGAAGTACAGTTCCAGTTTCCCACTCACATCTCACTTGCTTCGCGTCTAGTCAGCACGTGCTGTCGCTTTGTCAGCATGTGTTGGCAAAAAATCAATCCCTGCCAAGCTGAGCGAGAATCAGATTCGCGACCCCATATATTTTCGACTCGATTACAATGTGCAGAACGAGATCTATAGATTGGTGTAAAAACTACTTAATTTCATTTTTGCCGTTATATAAGCGCCGGCGCTTATAAAAATCCTCAATTATAAGCCCACCCCCTAAAAAACAGTGTTTTTTTATACCCCCAGGGGCGCTTCTATCCGGGGGCTGACGGTAACACCCAAAGCTAAACTCCCTAAGCTCGAAGTTGCAGCTGCATGCCCCACGCCCTGTTGATGCCCGTCTAACTGAGCCCTCCGTACAGCAGTCTGCGTAAGTTGGCGCCACCACTCCAAGGCCGGGCCCCTCAGCAGCGTTACGGCGTACTCGATCCGCTGCTGCGCGTCCGCCTCTTGCACCCCGCTCGCGGCGAAGTAGTTGTTGAGCATGAAGAGCCACGTCCGCACGTTCGCGTCGCGTTGACTTGGGTCGAACGACTCGGGCTTCTGCGGCTTGAGCGCGCTTCGACGTTCCGGCAGCGCTTCCGCGCCAGTCGACGTGGTGGGTGCAGGAGTTGGTGCGGCAAGGCCATGGGGGTTAGAAGCCAAATTGCGAAGTTGTTGCATTTCGGCTCGTACCTGACGATTTTCGAACGTCAATTCTTCGAGTTGACGCATGAGCTCGGCAAGCGTGTTGCCCATGTCGTGGGGGAAAGCGTTCATGGATTCGTCCATGTTCGCTCGACGACTCCAAGTCTGCAAGTCGGCACCGCGGGACGATGACGTCGTAGTCTCGTCGTCGACGGTCGCTCGTTGGAAGTCGCTCCCCGCGAAGGCTCTTGATACCAAGTGTTAGGCCCGCTGGCCTAAATCCGCTAAAGAATTAGCGGGGTCGACTAAGTCGAGGATGAAGCGCGGCGGAAGACTTTGGCGAAAGAACTACTAGCGAAATAGGCGAAGGAATTAGTGAGTAATTGAAGAAGAGTTGAATGAGAATTGGTTGATAATGCCAAGTACAAGCAAGGTTTATATAGCATGCAAGAAACAAGGTTGGAAAGTGGATTGTGGGACCAAGAATTGTAGTGCAAGAAAAGTAGAGTGCCACGTGGCACTAGAGAATCTGAGAAGATAAGGATAAGGGTGACTTGGAAAGTACTGTTCGGAATGAACAGTAAATCCCCCCTTAACACGAGGGGTTGGGTGTACACTCCAACCACACTTTGTGGTTGGTCAAGATTGGATTTGACCATGTTCCTTGGTTGGCACTTGCCAACTTTTGGTCCTTTCACCAACCAATCCCAACCTAGCTACATTGTGAGGTTGCTTACTCTACGGTACAAGGCACCTCACCCATTGGCCAACTTAGTGGCCAATAGGGTTAGCTCCTCCTCCACTCTTTGCTTGCGTGCTTGTATTATAGAGCCTCTTGGCTCATGACCAAAATACAATCTTGAATCCTAACAAAATCTACATTAGTTTTTGTCCCTGTCCAATCAACAGGCTTGTGATCCATTGACTTCCAACAACCATCCACTGAAGCACCTAGAGTGCACGTGTGCTACTCCAGCACTTGCTGTGCATCAACCAATCCCTTCACTCCAATCTGGTCCGACGCACCCCATGGTGCCAGCCACCCCCTTGCCTTGCCGCCCGCGAGGGTGCTGCCCAGTTGGGCAAAAGGAAGCAGCGTTGTTGCAAGCGAGTTCTCAAAAGCACGTTGGAGAAGCGGCGTGGTTCTTAGAAGAGTTCTACACCCGGCCTCGCGTTGAGAGATCTAGTCTGGGCCAGGGACACACTGTAGGGCCGCACATGGCAATGCATGCACCACAAGAGAGGGTTGGGAGGGATGAACACGTCACCCATGGATACATGTGCGACTGTAACCAATGAGTGCTCCCATGCCCCCATGTGTGCTCCTATGCACCCATGTGTGCTCCCATGCATCCATGTGTGCCCCTATGCCTTCTGTGATGGCTTACGGCAGGCAATCTGAGCAGGCAAGGAGGTGGAAGGCATTATGCATGCAGAGTGCGGCCGTGCAGCACGACGACACACAAGGAATAACGGCACGACCAACAACGAGTACAGCGCAGGGGGGGAGAGCAGGGGGGGAGAGCAGGGGGGGAGAGCAGGGAGGGAGAGCAGGGGGGGAGAGCAGGGAGGGAGAGCAGGGAGGGACTGACTCGGCCTCTGGTGAAGTCGCAGACACGCCCCGCCCGCACAGACTGGGCTGCCTCGCGCAGGTAGACGTCGCGCACGTAGAACTCCGGAACCTGTCCATGCCATGCCATGCCGTGCCATGCCATGCCATGCCATGCCATGCCGTGCCATGCCATGCCGTGCCATGCCATGCCATGCCATGCCATGCCATGCCATGCCATGCCGTGCCATGCCATGCCATGCCATGCCATGCCGTGCCGTGCCATGCCGTGCCATGCCGTGCCATGCCATGCCATGCCATGCCGTGCCGTGCCGTGCCATGCCATGCCATGCCATGCCATGCCATGTCATGCCATGCCATGCCATGCCATGTCATGCCATGCCATGCCATGCCATGCCGTGCCGTGCCGTGCCGTGCCGTGCCGTGCCATGCCATGCCATGCCATGCCATGCCATGCCACGCCATGCCATGCCACGCCATGCCATGCCATGCCGTGCCATGCCGTGCCATGCCATGCCGTGCCATGCCATGCCATGCCATGCCGTGCCGTGCCGTGCCGTGCCGTGCCATGCCATGCCATGCCATGCCATGCGATGCCATGCCATGCCGTGCCGTGCCGTGCCATGCCATGCCGTGCCATGCCATGCCATGCCATGCCATGCCATACCATGCCATGCCATGCCATGCCATGCCATGCTATGCCATGCCATGCCATGCCATGCCGTGCCCCGCCATGCCAGACAAAAACAGTCCATGCCAGGTCAGGCCAAGCCAGTGCATCCAGCACACAGCAGAGCATTTCAGCAGAGCACCATACAGGCACGCAAGCAGAAGCGTAAGCAGCGCGATGAAGGAGGGGCGGACTGGGCTGCCTTCTTGCGAGTGCCTTGCAAAAGATCGCTATAGGGACTGCAGGTGATCTGTCCCCCACCTGCCACTCTCAGTTACCAGCCTTGCAACTCAGTCCTGCATCCAGTTACCAGCCATGCACACAGCACCACAATCTGGCACCGCAGTGACTCACCTCGTTTCTGAGCAGCGTTTGCTGGCACCAGGCGGTGGGGTCCATGACGGCGTCCTGCAGGTGGTTGAAGTTGGCCCGCGTGCTCCTCACGTGCACCCCCCCCACCTGCCATGCTGACTCCGCCTCGTGCAGACCCAGCGCTGAAATCTGCATGAAATCCACGGGGAGAGGGGGCAGTGGTGCGCAGGGAACGGAGGAATAGGGAAGAGAAGGAAGGGGAAAGGTGGTGTGGACGCGGATGGGAGAGGGATGACGGTGTCACGATGGTCCATTCGCTTCTCATCACGTGCCGTGTGCTGCCAGTCATTTCGCAACAGTTGGAGCGATCCGTAGGAAGAAGCGGATACCATTCACCACTTCACTACACCCCCCCCCCACCCCATCGCACCTTGCGTGGATCCATGATGAGGCGGCGGAAGCCAGCCTCCCCGGGGCAGAGGTGAGGGTCGGGGAAGCGAATGCGGTCGTGACAGACGGGGTACGGCCAGCGGAACACCATGCGCTCCATCGAGAACGCCTCGCCCTCGGGCACGCGGAACGGCAGCGAGCATAGCCGCGTCGCCCACCACTGGCTGCCCACGCTCACCCATGGCACTGCCCGCACGTACGCCGCAGCTTCGGCGGCCGCGGCTGCCGAGCCTCCAGATGCGGTTACCGCAGCAGCAGCGGCGGTGGCGGCGGAGTCGAGGAGAGGGTCTGAGAGGGCGGTTTCGGAGGAGGAGGCGGTGGGGTAGGCGAAGGGGTCAAGGAAGGAGGGGATGGAGGCGGGCGGCAGGCCGACGAAGAGGAACTCGTTGATGGCCGCCGGGATGACCCAGCGGGCTGTGAAGGCGTGGCGGTGCACACAGTCGTGCATCGCTAGCACCTGGTGAGGGGGGGGGGGGGGGGGGGTTGAAGGGTGGTGGGGGTGGCAGTTAAAGGGGGTGGAAGGGGGTGGCAGGGAAAGGGGTGAAAGGGGGAAGGGCCGTAAAGGTGTGGTGGTGCACAGAGCCATGCATGGCCAACACCTGGTGAAGGGGGGAGCATGGAAAGGGCGAGGACGAAGAGGGAAGCACACTGTGTATGTGCGTATGCATGAAAAAACAGATGCAAGAGTTGCTGCGCGTACCTGTCCGTTCCTCTCGAGGTCAAACTGCTTCACGCCTGTGAAGTCTGTCCGGCGCACCACCCGCCGCTCAAAGTCCTCATGGAATCGCTCCCTGAGCTCCACAGCCAGCCACCCCCCACTGTCGTACAGCGCCACCACGGCGGCGCCCAGCAGGCGGTGGTACTCCACTGTCTCGCGCAGCAGATGCACCGGCACCGATGCGTTGCGCGCAGAGGGCAGCAGACACAACACCGAGTGGAAGGGGAAGGGGAGATCTGGGGCCGTGGTGGGGAAGGTTAGAGGGGCTTCCCTGGCAAAGGGAGGGGGGGGGAAGAGGGGGAGGGGAGGTGCAAGGGAGGGGGGGAGGGGGAAGGGGTAAAGGAGAGATGAAGTGGGGGGATGACGAAGAGGTGAAGGGGAGAGGACAGGGGTGAAGGGCGTAGTTTCAGGCCTTGTAGCTGTGGCGTGAGTGGTATCCACCACCTCACCCTCCACTGACACCCGTCCCACCGTTTTCACACCCACCACAGTCACAACCACTATTGTCACACCCATCATTGTGACACCAGCACTGTCACACCCGCCATTGTCCGACCCACCATTGTCTCACCCATCACTGTCACACCCACCACTGTCGCACCCACCACTGTCCCGCCCACCACTGTCCCACCCACCACTGTCCCGCCCACCACTGTCCCACCCACCACTGTCCCACCCACCACTGTCCCACCCACCACTGTCCCACCCACCACTGTCCCGCCCACCACTGTCCCGCCCACCACTGTCCCACCCACCACTGTCCCACCCACCACTGTCCCGCCCACCACTGTCCCACCCACCACTGTCCCGCCCACCACTGTCCCACCCACCACTGTCCCACCCACCACTGTCCCACCCACCACTGTCCCGCCCACCACTGTCCCACCTGTAGAGCACAAAGTCAGTCCCTTCAATGCGCACAGCCAGGAAGCCCCCTGTGTTGGGCACGTCCTCGCTAAAGGCGGCCTCAATAACGGCCTCCGTGTGCTGCGAGGCGGACCCCTGCTGCCCCAGCGAGTACGACACGTTCACCGCACAGTCCAGCGCCAGCAGCGCCGGCCCAAACCACCTGCGAGAAGGGAGCAGTGGGCGAGGGAGAGGGGTGGGCGAGGGAGAGGGGTGGGCGAACGAGCGAGTAGGATGCGTTCACCGGGCATAGGGCCAGGAGCCTGCTCGAACCACCAGTGATGGTGGGGAGGGGTGAGCAAATAGGCATCAAAGGAGCAGACTTATGAAGGCGAAGAGCAAACTGGAGAGGGTGAGGAGGAAACTGGAGAGGGCAGGGAGCAAATTAGAGAGGGCAGGGAGCAAACTGTGAAAGAAACTAGAAGCTTGTAGAATCTTGAGGAAGAATTGTTAACATTAGCTCAAGAGAGTACAAGGTTATACAAGGAAGAGAAGGTTGGAAGGGAAAGGTGAGTTTGACCATAGGTTGGGTTGGCCTCACTTTGGGGAGTGAGGCAACCCTAGGTCAAGTGGGTTGGGTTGGCCACACTTTGTGGAAGTGAGGCAACCATAGGCCCACTTGGGTTGGGTTGGCCTCACTTGTGGGAAGTGAGGCAACCTTAAGCCCAAGTGAGTTGCATGTGGGGGCTCCACCACAATTGGGTGGATTGGCACCCCACAATGCAAGACTACACCCAAAGTTGGGTGTAGTCTCAACCCAACTGTACACCACAATTGGTGTACAGTCACAAGTGTTGGCATGCTACAATATATATTTCTAACAAACTGGAGAGGGCAGGGAGCAAACTGGAGAGGGCAGGGAGCAAACTGGAGAGGGCAGGGAGGAGCGAAGGGGGTCGAGGTGATTGGAGCAGTAAGAAGCAGGTGTTGGGGTTGGCGGGTGCTGGTGGTGGCAGGCAGCAGTGAAAGGGGGAAGAGCGGAGGGTGAGGGGCAGGGAAAGAGGGTGGTGGTGGTACCAGCGCGCCTGTTCCTGTGACCCCCCTGTGTGCCCTCCCCATGCGCGCCCTCCCCATGCGCGCTCTCCCCATGCGAGCTCTTTCCCTGCGCGCCCTCCCCATGTGCGCCCTCCCCATGTGCGCCCTCCCCATGTGCGCCCTCCCCATGTGCGCCCTCCCCATGTGCGCCTCCCCATGTGCGCCTCCCCATGTGCGCCTTCCCCATGTGCGCCTTCCCCATGTGCGCCCTCCTCCTGTATGCAGCCCTTCTTCTGTGCGCCCTCCCCCTTAGCGCCCTCCCTCTGTGCGCCCTCCCTCTATGCGCCCTCCCTCTATGCGCCCTCCCTCTGTGCGCCCTCCCCCTGTGCGCCCTCCCCCTGTGCGCCCTCCCCCTGTGCGCCCTCCCCCTGTGCGCCCTCCCCCCGTGTGCCCTCCCCCTGTGCGCCCTCCCCCTGTGCGCCCTCCCCCTGTGCGCCCTCCCCCCGTGTGCCCTCCCCCTGTGCGCCCTCCCCCTGTGCGCCCTCCCCCTGTGCGCCCTCCCCCTGTGCGCCCTCCCCCTGTGCGCCCTCCCCCCGTGTGCCCTCCGCCCACCCCAGAGCCACAGCGCTCAGCTCACTTGCGGTGTGTGGCAGCCAGGCGGTTCCTCGAGGCCAGCAGCACCACCCCCATGCCCACCTTTGAGAATTCCCCGCAACCGTGTCTCTTCCCTAAAGCTACTACACTTGCCCCGAAGCCTATTACCCTGTGCGCTTTTTCCCCTTATCCCTGTGCTGCGCGTCCTCCCCCTCTCTGACCCTCACCTGCAGTGCGTGGCGGAGAGGCGGCCTTTCATGGCCCGCGGGACCACTCCCACGCCCACTAGCCTGCGCGGGCCAATTCGGTAACCACTGGAGGTTGGGGGAGGGGGGGAAACGAGCGCCGGGGGCAGGAGGTGTCGGCATGGAACGGGGCATAGTGTTGTGTGATGTTATGATATGCATTCATGTGTTTCTGCTTCTCATCTTGTGTTTCCAACTTGCATGTGTCGTATGCGTGTGTGAAAGACTTTGTATTTGGCAGTGTTTAATATTTGAGAGTGTGAATTTTATTTTGTTTGAGAGCAGAAATCTGACATGATTTCTCTGATCAAGAGCTTGCCGTCAAACTAAAAATTATTTCAATTGGAGCAAAAACAGGAAAGATACGAACGATCAGAGTTCGTATGCTTTTTAGTTATCAGAATTTGTGGGTTGACTTTTTGTGGGTATAGATTATTGGGGGTTGGAAAAAAATGTCATTTACTGTAGTTGCTACCAAGTGGTTAGGAGAAGACAAACCAAGTTGGCAAGTGTGACCAATTTGAATGAGGTGGGTTGCATGGGTTGGGTCTCTACAGGAAAGAGATTTTGTGTGGTTATGGAGTTTTCTTGGTTGGAAACTATATGGGGACCTATCTCGTCCTCTTCTTGTTCTTCCACCTGGTTTATTTTTCCTTGTGTAGATCTTGGTTGAATATTGTCCAAGATTCAGCTACAGCATACCCATCGGTACGCCAAAAATATATATCTCGAAAAATATTTCACCTTTAGATACGATTCATATTAAGATTGGTACCACGGTTTAAGGCTATAACATAGTCAATTGGGGTGAAGTTCTAATGGTGTGTATTTTTGTCGGTACCGTTTCTTATGCAGTCGATGTTTCTGTCCAGAAACTTACTCCAACGATTTGAGATATTTCAGTTCCCTAATCTTCATAAGCCCCGTACTTGATGCTAACACATAAGGAACTAGGCATGGGAATAGAGCATGGGTTATCGAGCATGGGGAATGGGGTATGGGGCAGGGAGCAAGGGGCAAGGGGCAGGGGGAAGAGGGCAGGGGGCAGGGAGCAAGGGGCAGGGGGCAGGGGGCTCTGGACGGGTGGTTTTCAATGGCACCAGGAAAATGGTGGGGATGCATAGAATTTCTATGTTGATACCTGAAGCGGGTGAAGACCGAGTTGCCTGTCAGCACACGCTGCCTCCACTCTGACGCGTCTGATGGGCCCACAGACGTTGGGGAGTGGGAGGTATGCGACGCAAGCACGGAGGGAAACACGCAAAGGAGGTCAGGGGAAGATGGTAAGAGGGGCCGTCATGGGAGGGAAAGAAGGATGCTGGGGAAGGAGGCACGAGAAACACAAGGGACAGCAAGGGGAAACGGGCAGGGGCCGAGCCGCAGCACTCACTGGCGAAGGGCCCTTGGGGAATGTACCCCTGTGTGGGCAATGGCTCACTCCACGCCTCCTCGCCCTCCACATCATCCAACACCGCCTTGCCCACCCGACCTGCTGCCCCCACTCCCCCTCCGCGCCCCCCCACTCCCATCCGTATCCCCTGCCCCTGCTGCCCTCCTCGCCCTCCCCCCCAACCACTGCTCCTCTCCCCCTCCCCAGCCCCAGCCAGCTCTACACCTCCTTCCCTAATCACACCCCCTTCCTTCCCCCCTCCCGCTCCCCCACCTTGCCCTCCCCCTCCCCCTGCGCCCTGCTCCTCATCGTCCTCCTCGTCCTCTAGGCTCAGCAGCTCCTCGATCCCCATGCTCTTCAGCCGCAGCCCTGTGCGCGCCCCCGCCCCAACGCTCTGCTGCTCCTCCGCCTGCTCCATTGGGATGCGCTTCCTTCTGCCCTGCCTTGCCACTGCGCCCTCCCCCCTCCCTCCCCTACCCCTTCTCCCCCTCCCCCTCCTCCTCGTGCCCCTCCCCCCTGTGCCCCTCCCCCCTGTGCCCTCCCCCTGTGCCCCTCCCCCCTGTGCTCCTCCCCCCTGTGCCCCCCTCACACCATCTTCCTCTCCCAGCCTCCTCTTGCTCTCTCCATCCCCTCCTCTCCTCCCCCCCCTCTCCTTCAGCTCTCCACTCCCCGCCTCCCCACGTTCCCCCCCAGCAACCCTCCCCTTGCGTCCAGCCCCACTGTTCACCCCACCCTCACCTTTTCCCTTCCCTCCACCCTTCTCCTCGTCCCCCCCTCCCTCCTCCTCCCCCTCTTCCCCCTCCTCCTCTGACTCCTCCCCTTCCCCCTCCTCCTCCTCTTCCTCCTCCTCCTCATCCTCCTCCTCCTCTCTCTTTACTCACCGCCATCCTCGCCTCAGCCATCGCCCTCTCTCTCCTCACTCATCTCTCCCTCTCCCTCCCCACCGCCTCCCACCGCACCTCGCCCCTCTCCACCCTTGTGCTTCTTCCTCTTCCGCCGGTGCTTCACCGCCTCACTGCTGCCGCCACCACTCTTCACGCCGCTGTCCTCGCTGCCGCGCTCGCCCGCCTCGTCCCTCCGGGCCTTGAGCATCGACACCAGGTTCGCCCGCTCGCTGTCCATGTCCTCCGGCTTCGCCCACTCTATCGGTACCACCCCCCCCGCTCCCCCTCCCCCCCCCTGCTCCCCCTTCACCCCCTGCCCCCCCTCTTTCCCCTGCTCCCCCTTCTCCCCCGCGCCCCCTCCTTCCCCTCCCCCCTCTGCTTCCCCTCCACCCTCTCCTTCCTCATCTCCAGGCACTGCATTCCCCGCTCCTCCACCTGCTCCTGCCCCTCCGCCTTCCCCTCCTCCATCTCCTTCCCCAGCCGCCCCCTGAGCTCTCCCCCTCTCGCCATCCCCGCCACCTTCCCCATCTTCCCTCTCTCCCCCACCGCCCCTCCTCACCTCTACGCCCTCTCGCTCCGCCCCTCCAGCATCCCCACCTCCCGCTCGCCCCTCTCCCCCGCCCTGCCCTCTTTCCAAACCATCAGTGGCAGCAGCAGAACCTGCACGGGAACCACCAGCATTATTACTGCTACCAGCACCACCAGCACTCACAGCACCATCGCTCCGTGCCCTCGTCTGCCCCTCGCGCCCACCAGTATTCTCCTCTGCACTCCCACGGGCCTGCTCGCCTCCCATCCCTCGCCCGCCCCTTCCCTCACCTCCCACTTCTCCTTGCTCCCTCCCCACTCGCCCCTGCTCGGCCACACCCTCTGTGCCACCCCCCCTGCGCCTGCCCCTCCTACCGTGCCCATACCTGCTGCCACTCCTCCCTGCTGCTGCTGCTGCTGCTGCTGCTGCCCTGCCCCTTCCACCGCGCGCTTCTCTTGGCCCCCCTCGCCCTTCTGCCCGCCTGCACCCTCTCCTTTCGTCCCCCCTGCCGCCACTGCTGCCTTGCCTGCTGCCGCGGCCGCCTCTGCCTCTTTCTGCTTCGCGGCGCGGAAGGCAGCCTCCTGAGCCATCAGCTGCTTCAGCCGCTCGTGCCGTGCCGCCCTGTTGCTCAGCTTCGGGGGTATCATCGCCGGTACCACCTGCTGCTGCTGCTCCTGCTGCTGCTGCTGCCGCATGCCTGTGCCTGTGCCCGCTCCCCCTCCCCCAGCCGCACCTCCACCCCCCCCGCCACCCACGCCCTGCAGCCGGCGGTCCAGCTGCATGAGCAGCGCGGGCATCTGCTGCAGCGCGCGCGCGCTCTCCTGCACCACGGCCAGCGTCCTTGCCAGCACCGAGAACCCCCCCTTGCCGTCCGCCTCCTCCCCCGTCAGCATGCGCTTCACATCCCTTAATGCCGACATGTGCTTCTGTGAGTTCTGCAGCACCATCGCCACCAGCCCCTGCAGGGACTTGAGCGTCGCACCGCCACCGTCGGCAGCAGAGTCAGGGGCGGCAGGCGGGGGTGTGGCGGCAGCAGTGGTGGCTTGGAAGGCGGCGGATTGGAGGGAGGAGAAGCGCTTGGCGAGGCGCGAGAGGATGGTGGTCTGCGTGGAGACGGCGCGCAGCAGCAGCGTGAGGTGCGTCCCGTTGCGCACCTCTGCCAGCACCTGCTGCAGCAGCCGCTCCATCTGCTGCGCCTGCTGCGCTGATACCTGCGACTGCGGCTGCAGCTGTGGTTGGGGGAAAGAGAGGGGGAGAGGGGAAAGACGTGGGAGGGAAGGAAATATGGGTGGGAAAGAGGGAGTACGGGGGAGGGAGGGAGACGAGTTTTGACGCGCTTTCAACAATACTAAAAATCAGGAGTAGTTCTCGCCTTCAACTTGACTAAAAACAATAACGCGTCAACTCGCGAGTAATACTCGCCTCCCCTTGGGCGAGTGATCTCGCCCTAGGAACCGACTCGTTACCCATGTCTACCGACTCGTTACCCATGTCTACCGACTCGTTACCCATGTCTACCGACTCGTTACCCATGTCTACCGACTCGTTACCCATGTCTACCGACTCGTTACCCATGTCTACCGACTCGTTACCCATGTCTACCGACTCGTTACCCATGTCTACCGACTCGTTACCCATGTCTACCGACTCGTTACCCATGTCTACCGACTCGCCACCCAAAACGAGTAGACAAGGTGAGGCGAGTAGAAGGCTCGCCGCGTTGCCCACGTTTCCCACGGACTCCCACTGGCTTGGCTCGCACTGTCCCACATCCATGTCGAGCAATGGCAGCTGAGGCAGCTGCTCGCCCAGCCTCAGGCCATTTGAGTTCACGCATCATGACTCCCAAGGACTAGTGCTGCCTCTTATTGACTCCCACTGCCTTGCAGTGACTCACATCCAGGTCCAGCGATGGCAGCTGAGGCAGCTGCTCGCCCAGCCCCAGCCCCAACCCCCCGTTGACCGTGGCCGCCTTGATGTGCGCCACCAGCGCCTTGAGCACTGCCAGAATGCGCACGAGCTGGGGGGAAAGGGAAGGGGGGTGGGAGGGGGGAGTGGGGGAGAGGAGAGAGAGGGGGGGGGGGGGGGTCGGGCGACAGGACATTGAGGGGACACACACACGTGGCCCCCAGCCCGCCATTGGGCGTGGCAGCCATGACGTGCACTACGAGTGCCTTGAGCACTGCAGGACTGCAGGTGAGCTGACAAGGACGGAGGGATCGGGAGGGGGGAGGGGGGCGGGGGGCAGGGAGGGGAGCAGAGTGGGGAGGGAAAGGGGGTTTGGAATGGTCGTTGGCGGCCCAATTCCAGGTCGCCATTGGCTGTGGTGGCTTAACGAGAGCCACCAGCGCCTTGAGGACGAGCTGCCGCAGGGCATAAGGCGGGGGGGGGTGGGGAGGGGTGGGAAGAAGGGAAGGGGCGCGGAGAACGGGTTGACCGTGGTGGCTTAATGTGCCTTGATGGCGCACAGCTACCATGCGGATGAGCTGAGGGGAGGGGAGAGGGGAGAGGGGGGTGGTGGAGAGGAGAAAGGGGGGAGGGAGAGGGGAGGGGGGGGAGGGAGAGAGGGGAGGGGAGGGAGAGGGGAGAGGGGGAGGGGGGAGGGGAGAGGGGAGGGGGAGAGGGGAGGGGGAGAGGGGAGAGAGGGAGGGGAGGGGAGTGGGGGGAGGAAGAGGGGAGAGGGGAGGGGAACAGCCTTGAAGAAAACAGAGACTACAGACATTCCTGCGCTCTGGCAAAGATACTTACTTACCTGGGGGGAGTACCTGGGGGGAGTACCTGGGGGGAGTAGTCCGCTGTCTGCCTTGACTTGAGGTCCTCCATTGACTCCTGCTCACATGCTCACATTGCATCGCATCGCACGGCATCGCATCGCATCGCATCGCACCGCATCGTATCACATGCATGCATGCATGCGGCAGGATTCAAACCAGAGTGTGACTATGAGAGACGGGTAGAGTACAAAGGAGCAGCCTATGCAGCAGCAGCCAGAGCACGACAGCACACAGGCAGCAGCACACACACCTGCAGCGACTTGAGGATGAGTTGCTGCTTCCTGGAAGTTGCAGCCGCCTCTCTCACCCCCATCAAGCTCGCTGCGTTGCTTGCTGCACCTCCTGCCCCTCCCTGCTCCTGTGCCGTGCCACGTCATGCCAAGCAGGTTGCAGTGCGGCAACACAAACACAAGGGTGTGGGAGATGTGAGCTGAGGTTCGGGAATCCTGGCGGGCAACCACAAGAGCATCATGCATGCATGCGTGCGTGCAATGAAACTGGCATGCCATGTGATGATGCGTTCGCACCCCTCCACTGCTGCCCTCACCCACTTGCATCTTCCCGCACCGCACAGCACCCACCTCCATCTGCTTGGAGAGTGCCTTGACGGAGCTGAGCAGGCTGGAGAGGAACGCCTCTGTCTTGCGCTGCCGGGCGGGGGGGGATGGCAGCCAGCCCCACACACATCACCATCGCATCACACGGCCGGGCACCAAGGTGGGGGGAGTGGGAGGGGGGTGGGGGGAGTGGGAGGGGGGTGGGGGGAGTGGGAGGGGGGTTGGGGGAGTGGGAGGGGGGTTGGGGGAGTGGGAGGGGGGTGGGGGAGTGGAGGGGGGTTGGGGGAGTGAGAGGGGGGTTGGGGGAGTGAGATTGAGCTGCAGCACCAGAAGTGTAGCGCAGCGTTACTTGGGCTTAGCTTCGGGCGAATGTACACATGCACATGCACATGCACAAGCACATGCACATGCACATGCACATGCACATGCACATGCACAAGCACCCCGGTTGGGAATTTGGGGCAAGGGTTCAGTCGAAGATCCAACCGCGCTTCACCACGCAAAATTTACCCAGCCCAACCCAACCCAACCGTCACGCCACCATATCAACGCCCTCCCTGATTTCACTCGCCATTTAGGGGCTCGCTTTTGCTCCACTGGATTCTAAGCTTAGACTTCCTCCTAGACTGTTTCTAGACGGTCGGCGCCTCTACAGCCCTTCCCCCTTCTCCTCCTGAGATTTTTTTTGCCTGTTCGGAGTTTCTTTTGCCTGCCCGCGTGAGTGACATGTCAATCGTGTTTCAAATGTTTCAGCCAGGGAGCATCAAGCGTCCAGACGCTAGTGTGCGGACGCCCGTGTCCTGGATGGGAGTCAGGCGTGAGAATTCTCAGAAGTGACTCCAATGTAGCGTCCTGGGAACTTGACACATCAACTCCAACCTAGTCCCTACCTACCCCCCCACCCTCCCTTTGCCTTGCCCCCCCCCTGCTCTCCCCCACTCTCCCTCCCCCCGCTCTTCCAGCTCTCCCCTTCTCCCCCGCACTGCCGCTCCCACTTCTCCCCCTGCTCCCCCCCTGCCCCTCGCCCTTCTCCCGCTGCTCCCCCCCTGCCCTTCCCCTCTCCACCCCCGAGGGCGCACCTGGGAGCGGGCGGACGCGGCCATGAGCCCAGCCAGCTTCTCCTTGCTCACCTCCCCTCCCCCCTTCCCGCCCCAACTACTCTCCACGACTCTCCCCCTGCTTTCCCCCTGCTCTCTCTCTCCACCCTCTCCACCTGCTCTCCCCTCCCTCTCCTGCTGCTCTCCCCCCTCTCACCCCTGCTCTCCCCCTGCTTCCCCCCTCCTCTTCCCCTTCCTCTCCCCTTGCTCCCCCCCCGAGGGCGCACCTGGGAGCGGGCGGACGCGGCCATGAGGCCAGCCAGCTTCTCCTTGCTCACCTCCCCTCCCCCCTTCCCGCCCTCCGCCCCTCCTCCAATGGCGTCCACGGCCGTTGCCACGTGGGTCTGCACCGTGGCGCTGTGATTGCGTATCTCCGACGCCAGCTGGCGCAGCTGACCTGGCGATGACTCATGCCACGCACACACACATACATGCGCGCATGTGCGCAGACGTACAAACACGGATACAAAAACGCACAAAGATAAGGACACAGACACGGAACAGACACACACACGGTTTAGGCACAGGTACAGAGACAGAGGCAGGCAGTCAGAGACAGGGACAGAGAGAGAGAGAAAGACACATGTACAGGGTAGGGACGGACATACATGACACACATACACACACGCGCAAACACAGCAGCACGATACACACACAATCAACGACACGCATGCATCTCAAGCATCGTGCCACATCTCAAGCACCGTGCCACATCTCAAGCACCGTGCCACATCTCAAGCACCGTGCCACATCTCAAGCACCGTGCCACATCTCAAGCACCGTGCCACATCTCAAGCACCGTGCCACATCTCAAGCACCGTGCCACATCTCAAGCACCGTGCCACATCTCAAGCACCGTGCCACATCTCAAGCACCGTGCCACATCTCAAGCACCGTGCCACATCTCAAGCACCGTGCCACATCTCAAGCACCGTGCCACATCTCAAGCACCGTGCCACATCTCAAGCACCGTGCCACATCTCAAGCACCGTGCCACATCTCAAGCACCGTGCCACATCTCAAGTATCCACCCTGCTCGCCATCTCGCATGGCCATACGGCCCCCTTCCCCAGCCGGGTAGGTGCAGGCGGGGCGGTAGTTTCAGGAGCAAAGGCGGTCATCCCACTCTGACCCGGGCTGGTTTGTCAGCCCGCGCATGCTCTAGGGGCGGTCATCACGCCACGTAGCTTGCACAAGCCTGCCTACGCTGCAACGCTGCAGTGAGTGCGTGAGTGCCCACTGCGCATGGCATGGCATGGCACCCACCGGTCTGCACTGCAGGGCTGCAGTGACTCACTCACGCACTCTAACTCACTCACTCACTCACTGACTCACTGACTGAATGACTGACTCACTCGCTCGCTCACTCGCTCACTCACTCGCTTACTGACTGACTGACTGACTGACTGACTGACTGACTGACTGACTGACTGACTGACTGACTGACTGACTGACCGACTCATTGACTGACTGACTGACTGACTGACTGACTGACTGACTGACTGACTGACTGACCGACTCATTGACTGACTGACTGACTGACTGACTGACTGACTGACTGACTGACTGACTGACTGACTGACTGACTGACTGACTGACTGACTGACTGACTGACTGACTGACTGACTGACTGACTGACTGACTGACTGACTGACTGGGGACCTTTGGTCTGCAGCGCTGCATGAGTGACTGTTGACTGACCAGTGGGCAGGGCACTCGCCACTGGGTGGGTGCAGTGCGGTGCAGTGCAGCACTAACCGGTCTGCAGGGCAACGTGGTCGGTGAGGGCGGTGGCGACGGAGAGGGTGTGGTTCTGCAGTGCGCCCACCAGCACGCGCATGTCATGCGCCTCGTTGCCCGCCTGCTCCGTTATGCTGGGGGTGCGAGGAGGGAGGGGGAGGGAGGAGGAGGGAGGTGGGTTGGGGAGGGGGTGGGGAGGAGGTGGGGGGGGGGGGGGAGATGAGGTATGATGACTGGCGTGACACGGTTGATCAGAGCGACACCGTCACTGCTGGCCTGCGGGGTGCGTGAGCTTGCTGCTCAAGGTGCAAAAAAACGGCCGAAACTTTGGAATTTTGGCATAAACAACGCTATCGTAGTTTTCGGTCATAAAAAAACGGTTTAAAACGGTAAAACCTTGCCTTTTTGAGCTGGTGCAAAAAAACGGCCGTTTTTTACGGCCGAAATTTTGAAACCAGGGTTGTAACTCATAACAACCAGGGTTGTAACTTATCGGTAAGTGGAGGGGGCTGAAGGGTAAGGACTAGGTAAGTGGAGGGGGCTGAAGGATAAGGACTAGGTAGGAGGGGTAGAAGGAGTAGGACTAGGTAGGTAGGAAGGAGGAGGGACCTTACTGTGTTTGCTCATTTCTGACTAGTTTTTAGCATATACTTTCTGTTTGTATGCTGCCCTGTTCTGTAATCATCTATGACCACCTTTTTGTTTTTTTTTTTTTTTGGCACAAAAATCTCCAACAAAAAAACGGCCGAAATTTTGAAAAAATAGCGTAAAAAACGAGCGTATAAAACGGAGCGTATTTTACCCCAACCAAAATTTTGAACCTTGTTGCTGCTGCTGTGTGACGCTGTGGGTTACAGGGGGCGCATAGGAGGGAAGGCAGTGGCAGAGGTAGGGAGGGAAGGAGCAGAGGGAGAGCGGGCATGGAATCCCATGGGAGCACATGCGATGCCATGCCATGCCATGCCATGCCATGCCGTGCCATGCCGTGCCATGCCATGCCATGCCATGCCATGCCATGCCGTGCCATGCCGTGCCATGCCATGCCATGCCGTGCCATGCCGTGCCATGCCATGCCATGCCGTGCCATGCCATGCCATGCCATGCCATGCCATGCCATGCCATGCCGTGCCATGCCGTGCCATGCCATGCCATGCCATGCCATGCCATGCCATGCCGTGCCATGCCGTGCCATGCCGTGCCATGCCATGCCATGCCATGCCATGCCATGCCATGCCGTGCCGTGCCATGCCGCCATGCCATGCCATGCCATGCCGTGCCATGCCATGCCATGCCATGCCGTGCCATGCCATGCCATGCCATGCCATGCCATGCCGTGCCATGCCATGCCATGCCATGCCATGCCATGCCATGCCATGCCATGCCGTGCCATGCCGTGCCATGCCATGCCGTGCCATGCCATGCCATGCCGTGCCATGCCATGCCGTGCCATGCCGTGCCATGCCACGCGATTCCTGTACCTCTCTGCGCCCTACCTCTCTGCGCCCTACCGCTCTCCGCCCTACCTCTCTGCGCCCTACCGCTCTCCGCCCTACCTCTCTGCGCCCTACCGCTCTCCGCCCTACCGCTCTCCGCCCTACCTCTCTGTGAGCGCCACGACAATCTGCTCGATGCTGGAGAGGTGCCGCGCCACCATCATGTACTGCCCAGGGGGGGGAGAGGGGGGGGGGGGGGGGGAGTGGATGGGGGGAAGCGGAAAAACGGAGGTAGAGGGAAGGAGTGGGGAAAGGGGAGGGGGTCGACGGGGAATGGGGCAGGAAAGGGAGGGAGAAAAGGAGGTTGGAAGATGAGTGGAAAGGGGGATGACGGGAGGAGACGACGGGAGGGAGAAGGCTGCGAGAGGGTGGTGGGGCAAGAAGCGGAGCGAGAGGGCAGCACAGCCCTCCGCCTCGTGACCTCCGCGCTCTCCCTCCCGACTGCCGCCGTTGCCGCGCGTCGTTGCGCTCAAGCGAGTGTGTCGCGCGGGGCAGCACTCTCTGCGTGCCCCGCCTGCCACCCCTCGCGCCCACATGTGAGCGCCCCGCCGTGCCGCACTGCCCCGCCATGCCGCACTGCCCCCCCGTGCACGGCACGTGCGGTCGCAAGAAAAACGGTTGAGTCGCTCAGAAGGCGCCGCCACGTGCCGCGCAGCCCGCGCCGCTCGTCCCCCCTCCGCGCGTCGCGAGCATGGGCAACTGCTGGAGTCCAGCCCGAAAACGCGCGACCTGAAGTGACTCGTTATAATCACGCTTGTTCAAAACTCGCGTGTCAAGAGCAGCGCCAGCACTGCGTGGGTGCATTGCGTCGCTGTGATCGCCTTGCGGATTTCTCGGTAGTCAATGCCGACTGGGACTCGTTATAATCAACACCACGTATCTACAATCAACGCCCTTTGTTACAATCAACGCCACGTGTCACAATCGGCTCACCATGATAAACACAGCAGCGGCCTGGATGACGGTGGTGGTAACCACCAGAGGCTGCTGCTGCAGATGCACCCGCCTGGGCGGCGGCCGGCTTTCCGCGCCGGCCATTGTTGGCTTATAACGCGTACACTAGCACACCAGCATTGTGGGCCCTTAGCGCGTGCTAAACGACGCGCACCCTTGTAGTTCTATCAATGCGATGATAACTTATCGAGATTCAGTTGATATCGATGTTTCCAACGAGAGTGAGCCGGCGAATGCTCACGCCCTGCTAACCCTCGTTACAAGCACCCGTGATCACCGCAAGAATTTCGCGACGTAATGCGGGGGGGATACGTGTGGTGTGAGGGGTGACACATGCAATGCAGAAGCAGAGGGAACTGCTGGTGTGCACAATCGCACAACCACAGCTGAAGGGGGCAGCAGGAACGGGGAGATGGGCGAGGAGGGTGAAAGGGCAGTTGGTTGGTACGACGGAAAGCGGGGGTGGTGGTCTGGTGCCGCGGGGGTGGCGGACGCCCGCACCCTCTCTAACCTGGTTGGTGGAGGGAGGTACAGTATGGGGAGTTTAGCGCCGGACCTGGTGAGGTACGGTGGAGCTTGTGCATTTCATTAAAGCTTTTGTATACATTTGAAAATAGGAGGTTCTAAAGTTTAGAAAATTGAAAGGTTGGTAACCCTATTACAGCTAGCTTCACAAGGGAGGGATCTCCCCAACAACCCGCACTCCCTGGTGATTCAAAATTTTTGGAACAACAAAAGTATACGAAATCTACGCTCTCTGAGATCTACGCCACTACGCTAGTGTTGGAAGTTAACTATGCATGAATGGGTTAACTATGAGGCAATGAGGTACAAGTAGGAAACCCTAACTAGGGTTGTACTCTATACTGAGTACCTCACTGTAGCCTAGCAGAACTAAAAACATACAAATATGTTTTTACACACCCCCCTAGGCAAACTGAGGGATAGCCAATACAACAAATGGTCACACGACCAGTCAGGCAAGAGAACAAAGCAATGCAAAGCCCAGGGTGGATCTCAAGATCACCACTCATTATGAGCACAAGCAAACGGCCACAAGGCCAGTTCACATGCAGAGTTATAAAAGCACAAACATTACAGTGATCACAACCTAGCAAGAGCAAGCATGCAGGTATATATATAAAGATCACAGTACAAGCAAAGTCAAGCGACCAGCAAGTGAGGTAGAGTGGGCACAAGGCCTAGAGCAATGCAGAAACGCTGATGATCACCAGACTCAAGGGCCTTGGTGAAGACATCAGCAGTGTTGGCCTCAGAGGCCACGTAAGCAAGGCGCAGCTGGCCACGCTGTTGTAGCTCCCAAGCAAGAAAGTAACGAAGAGCAATGTGCTTCGTTCTGTGCTCCAGCATCAGCTCGTGATACAAGGCAAGCATGGCCTTGTTGTCAACGTACAAAACTGGAGGAGAAAGAGGTCGCTCTCCTAAGTCGGTCAGCAGGTAGGTGAGCCAGTGTAGCTCCTGTGCCGCCATAGCCCCAACGTAGATCTCAGCCTCACAGCTGGAACTATGCACAGAAGACGAATGAGTGGACCTCCACGAGACAGAGCCAGAGCCAAGACTAAAGGTGTAACCCTGTGACGACCGCTGAGTCGCCTGGTCGTCAGCCCAAGAAGCGTCGGAGTTTCTTGTGAGTACAACTCCAAGCACGAGCCCCATGCCCGATGTACTGCACAAGTAACGCAGTACCCTCTTAGCAGCATCCTAGTGCACCTTTCGGTGTCTGCCGAGAGCCACGTAGCGAGCCAGGAGGCTGAGAGGGTACGCGAGGTCAGGTCGTGTGCACGTTATCAGATACATGAGACAACCCACAAGCTATGGATACAGACCACTCGGCTCTACGGACTCGTCCGAAGATGGAGCTGAGAGCGAGTGATCTGTAGCCAGAGGAGTGGACTGTGGCGAGGAGAACTGAAGGACCTGGCGCACCATGTGTGACTGAGTCAGAGTGATGGTGTGCCGTGCTCTGTCCCGGGTGATCTGCAAGCCAAGATAGCTGCACAGCTCACCCAGATCAGTGCAGGTGTGTCTCTTCTGCAGCTCCGACTTCACGAGGGTCAGTGCCTCAGTGTCAGCAGTAGCAAAAACCAAGTCGTCGACGTACACGAGGATGTAAAACGGCGGCAGAGAAGTGTCGGTGCGTAGAAACAGCGACGGGTCAGCAGTCGAAGGAGCAAACCCAAGAGCCGCAAGCGTCGTCCTCAGTGTGTCGTGCCACTCGCGAGGCGCCTGGCGGAGACCGTAGACCGGCCGCCGGAGGTGCCACTGGGTACACGCAGGAAACAACTCAGTGAAGCCAGGTGGGCGGCGCAGCCATATCTCCTCGTGCAGGCTGCCCTGCAAGAAAGCTGTGGAGAAGTCGAGGGAGTGCAGCTCGTAGTCACGCTGTGCTGCAACGTGCAGCAACACCCGACGAGTAATCATCTTCGGGGTGGGAGAGAAGGTCTGAAAGAAGTCGACCCCCTGTCACTGACTGAAGCCTCGAGCAACGTAACGCGCCTTGAAGACAGGTGGAGAACCCGACGACCGTTTCACTCTAAAGATCCACATGCCATCGACTATGTTCGCCCCAGGAGGGGGAACCTCGTCAACGTAGGTGCCTGTGGACTTCCAGGAAGCCATCTCCGCGTCCATGGCTGTCTGCCACTGAGAGGAGTACTCACCCGCAATCGCCTCAGCGTAAGTGCGTGGGGAAGGGATGTCAAGTGCATCCGGGTCTCCCTCAGGGCAAACCAGCATGGATGCGAGACGAGGTAAAACGACCGCAAGACACTCAAGCTCAAACTGCCTGTCCTCAAGGACGTCCGTGCTAAGGGCACACTCACCCCCGACGGACGGAGGGCAGTTAGACTCAGACTCAGTGACAAGACTCGCGACGTAGTCGAGACGACACACAGCAGCAAAATCAACAAGCTCAGCAACTAAGCCAGTCGCAATAGTAGACTCAAAGGAAGGTTCAGTGACAACGGTAGCTAGGAGACGAGTGACAGTGGGACTAGCAGCACGAGCAGTGGGGCAGTAGGTCAAACGGAGGGTCGGGAATGTCAGGAAGAGAGGACGGTAGAGGAGACGGCAGGGCAACACGATGTGGAACAGAGGAAGGACGAAGTGCCATAGTGTGAGTGCCGGTGAATGGTGGAGGAAGAGGGCAAGGAACATGACGAGCACGGCGAAAAGTGCGAACAGGGGAGGCAGGACTAGACGCAGGCTCACAGTCCAGCTGCTTGGTGTAAGAAGAAGGAGCAGGCAGTGAGGAGTCTGGCGGTAACTGTGTCTAAGACGGGTCAGGCGGTGGACACAGTAAGGGAGGAGTAAGGCCAGTGGAAGACGGAAGACTAAGAACCTGACGAAGTGCCGAGCCAGGCAGTGGTAAGGACGACTGCGACTGCGGGTAGAAAAATGGTCGGCGCAGGGCAGTACCCATACCGTCAGCAGCTCCAGCACCTCCAGCACCTCCAGTACCACCAGCTCCAGCAGCACTAGCACCTACAGCGCCTCCAGCTCCAGCAGCACCTCCAGTACAAGCACTACCTCCAGTACCAGCAGCACCAGCACCTCCAGCGCCTCCAGTACCTCCAGCTCCAGTAGCACCAGCACCTCCAGCGCCTCCAGCTCTAGCAGCACCTCTAGAACCAGCAGCAGCAGCAGCTCCAGCGCCTCAAGTACCTCTAGCTCTAGTAGCACCAGCACCTCCAGCGCCAGCATCTCCACTACCAGCATCTCCAGTACCTCCAGCACCAGCAGCTCCAGTACCTCTGGGACCTCCAGCTCTAGCACCTCCAGCACCAGCAGCTCCAACTCTGGCACCTCTAGTGCCAGCAGCTCCAGTTCCTCCAGCACAAGCAGCACCTCTAGTACCAACAGCACCTCTAGCACCAGCAGCTCCAGCACCTCCAGCACCAGCAGCACCTCCAGCACCAGCAACTCGAGCAGCACCTCCGGCACCAGCAGCACCTCCAGCACCAGTAGTACCTCCAGCACCAAGAGCTCCAGCACCTCCAGCACCAGCAGCTCCAGCACCTCCAGCACCAGCATCACTTCCAGCACCTGCAGCTCCAGTGTCTAGGAAACTCCAAGCTCCAGCACCAGAGCGGCCTCGCCGAACAACCCACTCACGAAGCTGCCGCGGCAAGGGTGTCTTGAGTCGACTAGGCGGCTGCTGTGTCCAACGCCAGGACCTACAGCAGGAGCACCCACAGCCCCACCACCACAAGGACTCGCAGCACCCCCTGTCTCAGCACCCCCAGAACCCTCACCCCCAGTCTCAGCACCCCCAGAATCCTCACCCCCAGTGGCACCACCCCCAGGAGAATCAGTGTCCACAGCGACAGGCTGTAGAGGCGGCGAAGACAGTCGAGGCGAAAAACCAGGAGGGGTCTCCAAGCGTGGAGAGCGGCGAGTGGCCGCCATGTTGTCAGCGGCAGGGTCACCCCCCTCAGCGGGGCCAGAGGAGTCAGACGAGATCTCCAGAGGCTCAAAAAAGGGGGGTGGGTCTACCTGAGACACACCTTGTCAACGGGAGTGGTGTTTTGCCCCGTCCTCGCTGGGGCGGAGCCGATCTCAAAACCGCGGGGACGAGGGAGGCCGCGGGACCGCGGGAGGCCGCGGTAGACCGCGGAACTGCGGGAGGCCGCGGGAGACCGCGGGACCGCAGGAGGCCGCGGGAGTCCGCAGGACCGCGGAAGACCGTGGAACCGCGGGAGGCCGCGGGAGACCACGGGTACCGCGGGAGGCCGCGGGACCGCGGAAGACCGTGGAACCGCGGGAGGCCACGGATATCGCAGAAGGCCGCGGGACCGCGGAAGCCGCGGGAGCCGCGGGGTGCCGCGGAACCGCGGAACTGTGGGGACCGCGGGACCACAGGGGCCAAGAGAACCGCGGGGGACGACCGTGGGACTGCGGGGGGGGCGGGATACCCGGTCGACCAGGATACCCGGGCGACGTGTGCGGAAGTCGTCGGGGTGGTTTCTGCGAGGACGACCTCGGGGGTGGTATCCCGAGGTCGACGTGGCTGGTGGGCGCCGTCACGAGTGGAGTGTCTGCGCTGGGCGTGTGACGGGGCGATGGACGCCAACCAGCTACACGCACCTGCGAAGCTGGTGCACCGTTGTCAGGCGGGTGCAACGCTGTGCAGCCGACTTGCTGCAGCGTTGGCACACCGCGGACTTGCAACATTGGCAAGCCGCGACTCCTCTCTGCTAGAGCGCGGTCGACCAAGTCGTGCTGGCACGCGGTCGACTGTGCTGCGCTGGCAGTCGTCCAGCAACCTTGCTAGGTCTGGTGTAGTCTGTGTTGCCAATGTTGATGCAATCATTCTGAACTTTTGTTGTCATGTTTTCCTAGTGAAACTCTTGCCAAATTTCCCCGTGAACTAGCAAGCAGTGTTAGCACTTGGAAACGACTAAGGAACGAACGAACGCTACGATCACTCTTGCCCCGTGCCTAGCCCGTAGTCTAGCTCCCGTTGTACTAGTTATCTCCGCATGGTGCGGTGAGCGTAGAGGACCCCGCGAAGTCCCCTTTGAGTTTGCCGACTTTGCCGACTTTGACTTTGTGTTGGTCACCATGGTGGACCCCGTAGTGCAAGCGGGCGTCGTGGACACCCTGGAGGCACGGCTGGAGAACGCGAGGAGAAGGCACGAGGCCAACGAGAATGGCGACCTGCCCTGAGCGGTCGTCGAGGCTGGCATCCGCGCAGAGTGGGCGACGGGGCACCCTCCCTCTCGGCCTGCGTCTCCTTGATCGGTGAACAACGCGAGCGGCGTCGACGCGGACGTCTACGCGGGTGGTGGCCAAGTCGGCAGCAGCACGGGAGGCACGTCGAGGCAGCGAGGTGTGATTCACGCCGATGAAGTCGGCGGCGTTCAGGCGCGAGGGATGCAGGCATCCGCGGCTGCAGGGGCCCCGTGGGGCTACGTCAGAGGCACACGAAGTGAATTGGCGCCGATGTCGGCGACACACGTGACCGCGGGAGGAATTGCGCCGAGCTACGGCTACTTCAAGTTTACGCCGGACAGGATCTCGGTCACCCCTCTGCTGGTCGGTCGTCCCGACATCCTCACGTGGAAGGAAGCCATCGAGCCCCAGCTGGAGATGGCCGGGCTGATGGGCTTCGCCCGCGGGACCGTGGCAACGCCGGAGGAGCACTACCCCGACCTGCGAGCAGAATAACGCGCCATGCAGTTGCTGACCTTCATGGTCATCTCGCGGTGCTGCTCGCCGGGCGTACAGATCGCCCTGAAGTCGTGCAGGGAGTACCTCGACGCTGGCCACCGGGCGTGGCATTTCATCGAGTCGACTTACCAAGTCACCGACGACTTGTTCATCGCCCAGCTTGAGGGGCAGCTGACGCACCTGCGTATGGGCGACCAGGAGACCGCGACGGACTACTGCAACCGAGCTCGGCGAATTCTCGCCACCATTCGGATGGCTGGCGCGGAGTACTCAACGGCGTCGTACGTCACACACGTCATGCAGGGACTCCCGAGCAGCTACAACCTGCTGAAGCGGCTGTCGATGGCGCCGAGCACGCGGGCGACGCTCAACGAGGACACATTGACCTCGTACATCCTGCAGGACGAGGCGATGCAGGAGGCTGAGCGGTCCCAGGAGCTCCTCGCGCAAGTGAACTACGCCGCCCCGGCGAAGCAAGGTGGTCGACCGGGACAACGCAGGCAGTCTGTTGGCAGTCACCGCGGTGGCGGGAAGCCGGCGAAGGATGCCGATAAGAAGAAATTGGCTAACGAGAGCGGTCGTGGAGGAGGAGGTCGACGTTGGGAATGCTGGCTGTGCGGCGACCCCGATCACCTCTCCTTCGAGTGCCCCGACCGCAGTGACTCGGACGACGATGACAAGGGAGGCCGCGGGAGGTCTGGCAGCCGTCGTCCGCGTCGAGGAAACCAGCCGCGAAAGGAGAAGAAGTCGGAGAAGTCGACCTCGGCGAAGGACACCGACTCTCCCGCGGGTGGCAAAGGGCGAGGCGACAAGGAGGCGTCGTGCTCGCTGGTCGGCGTTGTGGAGCCGACCGTCTCGCTGGCGCCGGAGGCTGGCGAGGATTTCCAGGCGGTGGCAGCAGCTATGCAGGCGAACCCGGCGGTGGTCCTGCTCGACAGCGGCTGCTCGCACCACCTGATGGGGACGAAGAACGCCTTCGTCGACTTGGGGCCGAGCGGCGACGTGAAGCACGTGCGTGGCTTCAATGGGGCGCTGCAGGACGTTCGCGGCTGTAGCACAGTTGCGCTGCAATGGGAGGTCGGGAAGCGGGTGCTCATCTCCGACGTTCTCTACGTCCCGGGCGTGCAGGCGAATCTGCTTTCGGCTGGCCAGCTGAAGGAGAGCGGGGTAACGCTGAAGGACGACGGCGACAGGATGTTGCTCGTTTCCGCGGCGGGGGACGTGCTCGGTCGAGCAAGTCTGGCGCCGACTCACCGTGTGTCTCATGCGTCGGTGGGAAACTGGCGCGGCACACCTTCCCCGACCAGGGCTCCGACGACGCTGACGTGCTGGCCGTTGTGCACATCGACCTGTGCGGGCCGTTTCGCGTGGCTGCCAAGGATGGCAGCCTGTACCTCTTACTGTTAAAGGACCGCAAGACTCGCTACGTGTGGGTGAGGCCGGTCGCCAAGAAGTCCGACGTGCTGCGGGAGTTCCAGCAGTGGCTGGTTCTAGTGGAGCGGCAGGCGAAGAATCGGCGCTGCAACTGCGTTCTGACCGCGGAGGGGAGTTCCTCGGGAAGGACTTCACCGCCTTCGTGGACGGCAAGGGGATCGTCCACGACCTGACCTGCCCTTACACCCCGCAGCAGAATGGCATGGCGGAGCGGGAGATGAGGACGGTGGTGGAGTCGGTGCGGACGATGCTGCTGCACATGGGCGTGCAGCACCACTGGTGGCATCTCGCTCTGCGGCAGGCCGTCTGGGTTCGCAACTGCCTGGAGCGGTCGTCGCTGCCACCGGGGACGACGCCGTACCAGCTCCTCACCGGGCAGAAGCCCGACTTGTCGATGGCGCGGGTGTGGGGCTGCATGGCGCAGTTCCTCGTCCCTGAGCAGCAGCGCGGTGGGAAGCTGAAGCCGAAGGCCCGGTGGGGACTCCACCTCGGCGTTTCGGAAGAGAGCAAAGGCTGGGAACTCCTCGACATCGCCGCCAACCGGGTGGTCACCACGTCGGACGTGGTGTTCTATGAAACTATGTCGCTGGAGGTGTGGAAGTCGGAACTTGGGCCAGCGTCAGGGCGGACGCGGGCCCACCCGCTGATGGACACCTCGACGGCCACGCTTCCACTGCTCGCCGCGGTCGGTGAGCAGGATGCTGAGGATGCCGCGGTCACCCCTGCCTCGCCTTCCCATGCCCCTTCTTCCTGTCCCCTTCCCGTCGACCTGCGAGGGCTGACTCCGGTGTCGGCCTCCGGCGATGAGGGGAGCAGTGGGGCGTCGCCTGTGGCGCCGGCCAAGTGCATCGCCGGTGGCCGACGTGACGCTCGGCCAGTCACGGAGAAGCGGGCCGCGAAGGTGCAACCAGCTCAACCAGCTTTCGAGACCGCGGAGAAGACCGCGGAGGAGACCGCGGAGGCGACCGCGGAGAAGACCGCGGAGGAGCCCGCGGCTAGCAAGCAGCTGCCAGGGGCCGCAAAACCGCGGAACCGCGGGACCGCGGTGACAGGGGAGCAGCTGCCAGGGGCCGCGAAACCGCGGAACCGCGGGATCGCGGTGCCGGGGAGCAGCAGACAGGGGAGCAGGTAGATGCGAAGCCGACCTCGGAGCAGTCGGCAAAAGAGAAGTCGCCCGAGACGCCGACCGTGGTGCAGCCGGACTCTGAGGGCAGTTACGCCGCGGAGCCAGCGACAGGGGAATAGTCGGACGCCGACCGCGGGACTGCGAGGAGTCCACCGACAGCGATGTGGTGGAAGTCCAGACCGGGCCACGGCGGACAGGCCGACTTCGTCGGCCGCCTGATTTTTTCGTCCCTGCTGCCTTCACCACGGTGTACGACGTTGATGATGATGACCTGGCGTACGATGACGTCGAGGACGATGAGGAGTTTCCCGAGTTCGACCCCGATATGCACGCCGATCCCGAGCACCGTTGGGACATTTCCTCGATGACGGTGAAGGAGGCGCTGGCGAGCTGGAAGGGTCCGGCGGTGAAGGCCGCCATGGAAGAGGAGATCCGCAGCCTCCTCAACATGGGCACGTGGGAGCTGGTCGAACGCCCACCTAGGGTGAACATCATGAAGAACCGCTGGGTGCTCACGACGAAGTACCACATCGACGACACCGTCGAGCGCGAGAAGGCGAGATTGGTCGTGAAAGGCTTCACGCAGGTGTATGGCACCGACTACGACGAGACGTACGCGCCGGTGAGCAGCTACGTCACGCTGATGATTTTTTTCAGCATCGTCGCCGTCCTCGACTTCAACCTGATGCAGCTGGACATGAAGAACGCCTTTTGCAGAGAAAGCTCGACCGCGTGCTGTACACGTACCAGCCGCACTACTTCAACGACGGGACCGGCCGGGTGTGCAAGCTGCTGAAGAGCCTCTACGGGCTGAAGCAGTCGCCGCTGCTGTGGTACAAGGCTCTCAACGACGTGTTGGTCGGCGCCGGGTGGAAGAAGAGCCAGGTCGACGAGGCTCTGTACTTCAAGGTCGGCGACGACAAGGTGACCTGCTGGGTGCTGGTCTACGTCGACGACCTCCTCGCCGCGAGCAGCAGCACCGCGATGCTGAAGGAGCTGCTGGAAGCCGCCTTCGAGCTGCGCGAGATTTTGCCGGTGCAAAAGTACCTCGGGCTGGAGATCGTGCACGACAGGCCGGCACGGAAGCTGTGGCTGCATCAGCAGAGTTACACCGACAAGCTGAGGAGGCGTTTCAGTGACGAGGAGCAGAGCGGTCGGACCCCGAAAACGCCGGTCTCCGTCGACGCCTACTTCGACGAGGAGGAGGCGCAGGAGCGCGAGGAGGAGGAGTACCAGCAGAAAGTTGGCTCGCTGCAGTTCGCGGCGACGACAACGAGGCCGGACATCGCCTTCGCCTGCAGCAAGCTGGGGAGCGGACTCACGGTGAGGAGCGACCAGCATTGGCGCGAGGTCGACCGCTGCCTTGCCTACCTCGCCAACACGCGTGACACCGCCCTGGAGTTCGGCGGTGGTCCGGAGTCACTGGAGTTGGTCGGCCACGTGGACGCCGACGACGCCGTTGACAAGCAGAACCGGATGAGCACGGGCGGCTACGTGTTCGTCTACGGAGGGGCCGCGGTCTCCTGGTCGAGCCAGCGCATTAAGTGCGCGACGCTGTCGTTGACCGAGTCGGAGTACGTGGCGGTCGTCGAAGCCGGCAAGGAGGGACGTCGCCTTCGCTTCCTCCTTGCGGAGTTCCGGCAGCTGGACGCCGGGAAGCCGACTGTCCTCCGGGTGGACAACAAGTCGGCAATCACCGTCGCTGAGGGCATGGGGTTGACGGGCAACCTCAAGCACATGGAGCGGCGACAGGCCTGGCTGCAGCACATGGTGAAGCGCGGGAAGTTTTCGCTGCAGTACATCCCGACCACTGAGCAGCCAGCTGACTTCCTG